AAGCCGTTTTCGAGAAATCGGTGAAATTACATTAAAAAAAAACTATAAATATATATAATCTATAGATTGTCATGGTTGTTTGTATTTAAATCCTATATTTCAAAGGGAGTAATTCATACGTTACATACATACATAACATGTTACATAGAAGCACAACAGTGTGCTCTGGGTCTTGGCCCCTGACCGTAAATATAAATGTTTGAATTTTGAATGTTATATTTTTAAAAACAAGAAACAAATAACACCTATACTGGCTGCATTTGGCAGAAAAAAAGCGCTAGAAAGCGCTTGTAAGCAAATTGGCGAAACTAAATAGTTTTCGGCCTAGACACGTTTGCTAACTTCCTATTCCTACTGAAGTTATGCTACGCTGACACAATCCGCCATTTTGATTATTTACTTTGTTTGTTTTAAAGTAGAGTTTATAAGTTGTTTTGTGCAATATTAGTTTCTAGTAATATAATGACATGAATAAACATATTATACATGTTATTAAAAATTCATGGTTGGTATATATTTAAATTAGGTTAAGTTCCCCGGTTAAAACTAACTTCGTGTCCTAGAGGAAAATAGCTACTTACGATTTGACAGCGCTTACCGCTTACGATCGCCTTTTTGCTTACAAGCGCTTGCTAGCGCTTTTTTCGGCCAAATGCAGCCATTGATTAAAATTATTGTTGGCGCCGTGTCAATTGTTTTTGAAAATGGAATTAACGCGTGAATAATATTTTTTGGCGATGGTTTTATTTATTTTAAAAGTTTAGGATAAACTGTTTTCGAGAAATCGGTGAAATTACATTAAAAAAAAAACATAATATGTGTTGAGTAAAAACTTCCTCTTAGCCGTGGAGTTGAGCGTAAGAGAAGAGAGTGTATGAGAATCCACTAGCCCATATCATCCCGTGGGCGTCGTAAAAGGTAACAGAGCGAAATTATACAATACGTGTCAATTGTTTTTGAAAATGGAATTAACGCGAAAAATATTTTACGAAGATGATTTTTTTGATTTTGAAAGATCACTGTCTGCGCTAGTTTGCACTGCTCGTCTTCAAAATGCTTTTGGCCTCGGGGGGAGGGTAAGCACCTCATTTGAGCACTGTAAAATATTGGTACGCAGAATTTAATAGTTGTTTTATTTCTCTCCGTGATTAAATTCGTGAAGGTCGATCCTGTGGTTACTGTCACAAATGACTATATAACTGAAGAAAATTGGCGCATGACCTATGAGGAGATTCGAGGAGCCAAATAAAAAAAAATTATACTTACATCAACATTTAAAAGTTAGAAAACTTTATTTCCGATAGAGAACAAAAACGGTCTCGAGTTGATTGCTACAAAAAATGTTGTTAAAATATCATATTATGTTGAAATGCTGCGTATGATATTGTGACACGAAATGAAACATGGATATATTGTTATATTCTGGAAAAAGCTAAATTTTTCCGTATGGGTGTCCGAAGATGGCAGCAAAACTACAAATCAGTGGCTCATTACAATTTATATACTCATTACAATAGTTCGGGAAAAACGATTAAAAAATCATATCCCATCGCACCAAAACAATGTTTTGACGCTTACCGCGAACTAAACAAAGTTATTTTCGGCTTCAGAAAAGGTAGACCTCGATCATTATTATTTATATTTCTAAAAATTAAAGATTTGAAAGAGTTTTGACATTTACCCAGAAGAGGCCGTTATGGCTTTCAACTAGCACGTGAAAAACATGCCCTCAGACCAAAGGCCCATATGTTTACAAAAATGGTTAAAATTTATGAAAAAATGTATAAAATGTAATGTAGAATACTTGGGAAAGCAGTACATATATTTTTGCTTATACGCATATAAATTGTTTTATTTACGAGTTATGCAAAACTTTTGGTGTGCCCCATATATATCATTTATCGGAAATGGCTCTAAATATATTAATTTATTTCAAAATGTTAAATACCTTTCAAGTTAATCGAGCTAGGTTTATACCCTGAAATTTATTTTGTTACCACCTAACAAATCACGTTCTCCGAGGTATATTAAAGTATGGAACACATAATAAGATTCTCATAATACTACGTATGAAAATTCATTACACAGAATGCAATTTGTTCTTATAAGTAAATCATTAACCATCAACGTAACTGTTAATATGATATGAGAAAATATTAAGTATCTTCCATTAGAGGCCCTTGTGCTACTAGTATAGAAAAAGACTGACTTTCAAGCTGGTGTAACGTTATTCTACCTTGATTTACAACACAGTGTAATACAGTACGTCGTAAAACTGCATGTACATTTCTTTATGGAGATTAACTGGGGTTATGGAGTGATGCGCGAGATCGGTCTTAACTGTTTAAAAACCGGTTTTGGTACTGAGATAAACAACACTTGGAAAGTTGCAATCTTACAATTTGCATTAAGAAAGTACATGACACGTAATATTTAATTTGCCGCTCTACTTATGTACCTACCTATAGTGCTTTAGATCCCTACTTTTATTAGAATGTGATTAAACGGTAGTTTAGAAATTTTAGTAGGTCACAATAATTATAAAATTCATGCTCGTTGTGAAGTGACATATCGGTTATTATCGATTTTAAACGTGAATCGGTATTGAAGTCATATAAAAAACTATATCTTTCGAGTGTGTATGTTTGTAGTGCGTAAAATACAACATATAAATTATATTAATATATTATGCAAATACTGCTTAATACCGTGCTTTATTGGGATTTTAACACTATACACAAGTGTTTTGAAATGTTTACTCTATATTTTCGATATATCTATTATATATTATTTACAACAATTTAATAAATATCGTAGAACTGTATGCGCACCGCACCTTTAAGGCCGATTGTAATATTCAATCCAAAATATTAAAAATATTTGTCTGAGACGGACAGACGGACGCGGATGGTTGGACACTAAACAAATTTTATACAAGTTACAACAGTAGCTAATGTTGGCACAGTGTACTGAAAATAAAATTACATTACACACATTATTCTGTCAAGAACATTAACGAAAATACCTTCGAATTGGAGTGTATTGTTGTGGTTTCCTAATCACATCCGAACGTAACTCTTGAACACTCTGGCTTTTTTCTAATAAAAGAAACGTTACCTCCAACCTAGGATTTTCTCCTGTATCGTGGGGGAGTTTCAAACATAAATTTTATAAGAACAAACGCCCGGACCCAGAACAATTACTTGTAGGGCATACAAATAATTGTTAAGTGCGGGATTCGAACCCGCGGCCCTTAGCGCTGTAACTCATTGCTGAGCCACTGCGCCATTCTCTTGATTAATATATAATTTGTATCCGATGTAACACTTAGGTGGTTATTGAATATATTTGGAAACAGAGTCAACAATTCGAGAACAATTGCATATTGACGAGAACTAAAACTAACATATTATATCCTCAATGAAATTTATATAATCGAAGAAATTTAAACTAGAATTAAATCAATCACTCATGTACTACTCAATTACATAGTTCTAAATAAAAATTAATAATTAAACGTTTATTGAAAATTGATTACTGCAAATATGAGAAACAAATCTCTTTTATTTTGCAATACAAAAACCAAACCGAAAACTGTATTAAATAGTCTTTTGAAACTTTTAATCGTTCTACACTATTTTCGGTCAATGCCTTCAAGCAGAAAGTTTGCGCGAGAAATAAGCTACTTACTAGTTTATGGTCTAGCGACACTTAAGGCCAAGTTGAATATAAATATTGTGTTTGGAAACGGTTTTGGCGCTCGAGAATTGTTGCTTCTTAAAAATAGTATATGTTCGGAAAAATATACGCATATAAAATATATTATTTAATTCTTAGTCGAATAGATTTTAAAATAATTTCTATTGATTGAGAAAAAAAATCGTCGGGAAAATATTTGATGTTCGCGTTTTTGTTTTATAAGCGATAACTGTATAACATTTTCTTTTCGATAGTATGAAAGGCATGTTTTGAGTTAGATTATTTATGAGCTACATTTTTATTTAGATCCTTTATTTACTGATAATGTGCAAAAACGTGTCAAATTTAGTAACATTTTGTCATCGAAATGTTGCACGCTTACTTCGTGTTTGGCAAATATGCATGCAGCAGATAAGTAATCCTCGCCTTAAGCGTTCAAAAATAGGTTATAATATAATACAGCTTACGACCTTCACTGTCCCCATTGTTGCTGTGAAAGTGATCTCACTGAATGAAATTTTAACCGAAGAAATAATATGATATAGCAACAAAATAAGTATGTAGTTTAAATTTGTCACGATGATCTTGTGGTAGCTGCGTAAGAGATTTTATTACCGCATTTCATCTTGCCGTAAAAGGCGATTTTTTGTAAAATATAACCACCTCTAAATACCTAGACGCGCGACGGCATAGAGCTGCTAAATGTTTGGTGATTGGATCGCCAATTCGCCTGCCTAAATGGCGACTAAGTTAGTATTCTGATGTTTCGCATGCCTTTCGCAAGCGCAAAGCGCGTAGGTATGTTCTACTAAAAATCAAGAATCCAACGTTTCATCGCATGAAATCTAACAATCATATTTACGAGTAACATATCGATGGTCTAGTCTAGAAGACAAACATGGTAATTACGGACCAGCCAATTTTCAGGAGGACTGTTTTTAATGATTCAAAACTTCTAGATACTGTAACTTAAAACTGGTCATTGAAACTGTGTATATACTACCTATAATTAGTTAGGGTATTTATCTATATACATTATCATAAATTCGAACATCAATTATCTAAAATATTCTATAAAAATACCAAAATAGCAAAAAAGGGTATCACTTAGTACGTTTGTACACAAACTTTATATAAGATTGTTCACTTAATATATTAATTTAGGGTATAATGAAGAATTTAGTACCGATGTATTAAAAAAAATAATTACGTATAAAAGTTTCTTTATTACCAAACAAATCAAACATGTAAGTATTATGTTAATATTATTATTTAAGTATTAAAACTGTTAATTTCTTAGGTCAGTCAACGGACTCTGAGCCTGAACAATCGTTAATTATATTTTCTTCATCAATAGAAGGAATGTTAGTGTAATAATCAACGTAGTCTTTTGGGATCACTCCATCCTTCAACAGCGTCATCAAATCCTTCTTCTTAGCCTTTGAAATTAGCGTCTGGGAATTGTATGCTTTTTTAACGGCTTGTATAAACTAGAAATACTTGATCCCTTTTTCTTCTTTTTTACATGCAGCAATGTCAATTTCTTTGAAAGTCGTATCACTTAGTTTATATTTGTAAAATACCGATCCCGGAGACTCTTTTCTTACTTGTATCCATTTGATGGTCATCCACTTTACTGTTTCATTATTTTTGTTTTTTACCATATTGCAATTCAATGACTTTTCTAAAGCTTTTAAATCATAGAAATAGGGGTACATCATCATGATCACATCGTAAGGTTTGGGTCTGGATCTCGCAGAACTGACAACTAAAGCGTACTCTCTTGCAGTAATATTTTTTTATGCTTTCGGGCACGCTCTATACTTGGATGTATAGAGTCAGCCTCCAGGTACGAATGGCCAGATTCCATGTATTTAAGGTTAACTGTGTTTAAATGAGGAACATTTATTACGGCATACAATGCTGCCAATGTGACATATTTGTTGCGATTTTGACCACTGCAGGTGTCTGAAAAGGATGTAACAGTTTTTACGTTTTCAGGCAAATCCATCAAGTACTTAAGTAAAATTGAACCAATTTCAGTGCTGCCTTTTCTCCGTTGCTTTCGTCCCACATATAACATAGTCCTGTATTTTGATAATTATCTAAAATAGTAAAATTGTAGATAGAAAATTTCCCTAAGTAGTAAATTTTAGAGTCAGTGGTGTGAGGCACTGACAACATTGCCTGCAAGTCAAATGTTATTGAACGCTTCGTACCATCGTCTTCTATGCTTTCTTTCTTGTCATATGCCTTCATTTCCAAAGATTATTTTTCTCTTGCTTTATGTTCATCATAGTCTCTTTGTAAACTGGTTTTGTCTTCAGCACAAATTGCATTTAGTGCACTGATCCTTTTTGGTTTGTAAAATGTTAGTGGTGGGTCATACGATTTGAGAATCTTCTCGTAAACATACAAAGAAACAGGATTTATATTTCTTTCTGGACAGAATTCTTCTTTGTACAATTTATATAAGCGAGCCATATTAAGGTCACTCTCCAAATATATTTTTTGGAGTCTTTTCTGCAATAGTGGGACTCGATTCTAGGAAACATGTCAATATGCAGTTTAACAAATTGTTTAATTGCTTCTGAAGTTTTGTTTCCAGGAATAAGTCCCTGCCGTAGATCATGACCCACGTAAACGCAATTTGGTCCTATTTGTTTAGTGCAAGTATCAATTACACTTCCACTTATAACAAAAGTCTTGCAAAAATTTTTTTGACAAACTCTGTGTCTACCTGTTTTCGTGACAAAGAAAATACTGTCTAGACATAACGCGTCGTTTTGTAGCTGCAACCGTTATACGTTGAATATTTGCGTGTTTTATAAGAGTTGAAAGAATTTTTTTTTGATATTTGCTTTCTCCAAGTCCCCAAAAATTACGACAGAGATCAGCTCTTACATTTTCAGTAAAATTTTCATTACATTTGTATCTACATTTACTGCAATTTGTAGGAATACAGTTTCTTGCGCTAACAATGTTACCCTTTCTGTTGGTATAAGATTTACCGCTTTGACGTTTGTTTTTTGCTATATTTCTCTTCCAGGTGTCTGGGTTTGCTTTTTTACTTTTTTTTCGGACATTTGTTTCCTCAATCTCGTCCCGTGATGTATCAGATGAAGTTGCAGGTTTATTATTTTCTGGATGGTAAGACGATTCAGAATCTACGTAAGGGGAATTATTTGAGTCCGACAATTGAAGATCGAGAATTATTTGCTCTATATTAGTACTATTCGATGTACTAGGAAGTGGTGACTGTCTAGAATTCCGTGATTCTTGCAAAGGAATCGATGAAGTGTTAACTTGTGGTTCAAAAGTAGTGCTAAAATCAATATATAGATCATTAGCTGTGGAAGCGGTTTCTTTAAGAGTGTCGGCGGATGCTGCGGGTGGAGACAGCGGCACCGAGGTAGTAGATGCGGCAGCATCCATCATATTTGTGGAAAATTCAATCAATATTTTTAAAAGAAGATTATTTGAACATATTTATAATGATGAAACTATGCATTAAAATTATACTTGGACCACCGCCTTATAGTTGATAGGAACACAATGAACTCGCTTCTTGGTTAACGATCGACCGGTATAATTTTTTTATTTATTTTTTTACTACCCACACGCACTAGAATTATAATATAGATGTTATTGTTCTCATGTAAGTGACTTATTGTCTTAATGAGAAATAAAGTTCTTTAAACCGAAATTCGGTGTTTACTGCAGGCGAAGACGACGGTACCGAGGCAGCAAAGTCGTTTTGTACATCACCGTCGACGTCGGGGATTTTCGTTTGAACATCGGTCAATCGGTCACCGGTCGGAAACATTTCTTTTCAATACTAAGATCCGTTAATATGAAATGCAACGTTAGAGCATGAAAATACCAATCATAATAATATACTTTTTACAATTTGTCAATGCCTTGGTTAATTAGATTAAATAACTTTAGTACTCTCGGGCTCCTGTTGTTTACTTAGAACTTTGTTGTTAAATCATTTACAATATTTGTCTACACTGACCTAGTATTTTTAAAGCACTTAATATTTTTTATTATTTGCTGACGAGTTTTCAGTAGTATTATGATCACTTAAACCATTTGTCTACCGGCACTTGAAAATATTTACATCATTTAATATAATTGGGAATCGAAAGTTACAAAATGACAAACGTAATAAAAATATTTAGCTTATTTGTCAATTATGGTAAACACAAGCGAAATGTCATAAATCTATTTAGCATTTTTTTTACTCGTAGTTAAACTGATGGTAAATAACTGCCATTACTTTTTTGGCTTCAAAATGACATCACTTACTATGAATGTACAAATACAGTTTAGACAGAAAGAGACGGAATAATGTCATTTGGATGAGTGGCATCCGTAGAGCATGTTCATTTAATACATTTGGCATTAAAATTTTAAATTATCAAAATTTTGTAATTACCATGTTTGTCTTCTAGACCATCGATATAAATGATATAAAAAGCACATTGTCAGAAAGATAAAAGATTGTTGAACTTATATTTATTTGATTTAATAAATTAATTGCTATTTTTACATTAAAAAAGTGGTTTTAGTGGCCTACGGTGTAGATTAATCAAGTCCGCATGGAGGGGTAAACACGATAACTTTTGAAAATATCAATTATTCAACTCAATCTATTTTTTAATCAATTCATCTATCACGTGGGAAGCATTGAAATGTAAATTGCTGTTTAATTTTGTTTTGTTTAGTTATAATTATTTTTTTCGGCTGAGAAATTCCGAAATTAGTATATTTTGCTTTAATATATTTTACAATAATAAATACAGATACACTTCGACTCACTACGGGCTCGGCCCGACCCTTATGTTTCTTTGTATGTATGATATGTTATTTCTTCATCAATTGTAAACCGATTTTCGTAAGTATCTTTTTAGCGGCCCATAGACATCTACATCTATCCTCGATTATAAATCAAAATGCAGATTCGTTTTCACCCGTGTGGACTAAGATAGAATGCCTCGTTTCCAGTAAAAAGGGTCTCCGGTTCTCTATACTCACCATACGAAACACAGCAGCATTAAGCCGCTATTTTGCGCTGGTATTCTGTGAGAGCGTGGTCTTTCCCCGGTCGTGCTGACCCGTGCGACAACTATACTACTAATATAGCTGCAGCATGGCTTTACCACGTGTAAAAAGAAAGTTCATGAAATCCTTAATGTAGTGTTGTAGACATGGAGACACTTATAAAGTACTCATATATCTTTCCACTTGTTTCTGTTTTGATTGAGGTTGGGCCAATTCTTTTCATAAACAAGGTCGTTTTAACGATATTGGCCCGGACGCCTTTTTTTGTATTTTTGTAAATCCTTAAAATTATAATGCCACTTTTTAACTTGCATGTCTTTGCTTGTAATAAGGAAAGGTTGACAATTAAACGGTTACAGACAGGTGTCAACTCGAAAACCACTTTTTTCCTAAGAGCAGTTTCAAATGTTGACTACATTTTTTTACAGTTAAAGCGGTAATGTGACGCATCCTGCTCAAAACTTTCACTACGTTTGCAGATAAAGTGAGTTTGTATATACTATGGACACGATTGCGTATATATTTAAAACATAAATAAATCTAGTGTAGCGTAGAGAGGATTAAATAGTCTTTAATATCATCGTTACAGACTAACACAATTGCCTGATATCCCTGTTCTGAACAACTAATAGTCTCTTAGTATATACAATTAGCAGTTCAGATTCGTTAGCTACTTTAAATTAAACAGAAATCCGTACGTCGAATCTCGACTCCGTTATTTTATTATTCAACAATTTGACATTATCTAACAACGGTTATAAATTGCACTAAATATATTACTATAAACACATTATACAATACAGCATCATATTGTTTTCCTAACCTACTATCGTAATAAAGTACCTAGTATATGTAGGTAAGTAGATAAAACTCATATCTTTTTATGATACAAAACAAAACACATCGTGATTAACGACCTTACTCATAATCGTTGATTATATCTATATTTCACATAATTTAAGTATAAATTATCTTTATACCGGTCTCCTTCTATTGTCATTTAGTGAAAAGAGAGAAAGAGAGGACATTTTCACTTAGACCTTGGGTTGAATGGTTTAAAGATTTTCATGATCAGGGCCATAAATATTTTGTATATACGATTTGACAAATACAAAAAGATGATAATATAGTTTAACATATTATTAAAAAAATATCACATAATCTTTATTTTTTATTATCACCGATAAATTTCATGATTACGAATTTCTACTATCTTTATAATTTTTAGTATAGCCGAAAGGAACAGCCGCTCTAAATTCCTCCCTAGACCCAAATTTCTATAAACAAATACAGTCCTAATAGTTAAGGATACAATGACTCAGAAAAGCAAAGTTAGAATCCGCCATTCGACAAACATTGTGAACTACGCCTAGCTCGCTTACTTGTAGTGGTAAACGGCAGTAGGTATAAGTAATGATCTTCTCGGCCATAGATAATAGGTGTGTATGAACCGAAGCAACTTCTTGTAGACAGTGTACTCGTTTGTCATCCTTTATCATCATCATCATTTTTTATAGAATAAGAGTGTCAAACGAGTACGTAGTTTACCTGGTGATAGGTGGATGCTGTGGCCCAAAGACATCGACATTTATCCTCGATTAAGAATCAAAGTACAGATGCGTTGTTACAGCCGACTTTAAAGCTTTACTGTGTTGAACATAGACCTCATGGATTGCATCATAGAGGGATAAAAAATATATATATATATATATATATATATATATATATATAGAGGGATATCATGAGTGAATGATATACCAAATTCCATAGAAATAGATGTGATGTATACACCGTTGTCTAGATTTAAGAATCCATAAAAATTTCAGAAATCCTAGGCTGCAAGTATCGGGAATGGAATATTTCCACTGTTCCTGTCATATTAAAATCTTTTTAATTGAAAACTCCTTGGTTTTAAAAATCGAATCCATTTATTTATTTAAAAAAAAGATTATCTGTATTGTCACAAGGATTCGTCAAACTTGTTTAGTCGTTGATAAAATGGAATTGACTCGAGAAAATTCAAGAGCGAAGATTTATTATGACTTTCGAAGTGGTTTAACACAAAAACAGTGTGTTGACCGGATGATTTCTGCATTTGGTGATGAAGCCCCATCCAAAACCACAATTTATCGCTGGTTTGCTGAATTTCAACGTGGACGTGTCAAGCTCAGTGATGATACCCGTCAAGGTCGTCCAAAAACTGCGTCAACCAAGAAAACGTTGATGCTGTGCGTAAGCTGATTGAGGAAGATCGACATGTGACATACTGCGAAATTCAGGCAACTTTAGAATTACGTTATTATTGCATGAACAATTAGGTGTAAAAAGTTGTTTTCCCGATGGATACAGCATTCGCTCTGTGAAGAGCAAAAAGCGGCTCGCGTTACTTGGTGCGTCAGAACTCTCGAAAGATTCCACGCAGGATCCTCAAATACTGTATACAACATCGTATCAGGTGATGAATCCTGGATATACGCGTACGAACCCGAAACAAAAAACCAGTCACGAGTTTTGGTGTTCGAAAAGGAGTTAAAGCCAACAAAAATTGATCGTTCACGGAGTGTTGCAAAAAAAAATGGTGGCCACGTTTGTCTCCAAAACCGGCCATGTTACGACTATTCCTCTTGAGGGACAAATAACGGTTAATGCAGAATGGTATGCTAGCATTTGTTTGCCACAGGTCGTTTCTGAACTCCGTAAAGAGAACTGCAACCGCCGCATCATCCTCCATCACGACAATGCGAGTTCTCACACCGCACACAATAAAAAGAGTTTTTAGAGCAAGAAAACATAGAATTATTAGACCATCCGCCGTACAGCCCCGTCCTAAGCCCTAATGATTTCTATACTTTCCCTAAATTAAGGAATAAATTGCGTGGACAGAGATTTTCATCACCTGAGGAAGCTGTGGACGCCTACAAAACGGCCATTTTGGAGACCCCAACTTCCGAAGGGAATGGTTGCTTCAATGATTGGTTCCATCGTATGGAAAAATGTGTCAAATTTCGCGGAGAATACTTCGAAAAGTAATAAATACATTTTTAAATAGTAATGTTGTGTCACTTCTTTGATTCCCGAAATTTTCAGTGCCGCCCTCGTATGTAAAAATTAGTAGATTTATTATTAATATTATATAGACTAAGCATTAAATCCACAAACTGTAGCTACAGCAAATCTGGTTTTTTAGACATATTTATCAGCATATTATTATGTACTTCCTTTTTCTTTAAAAAAAATCACTTCACTATTTACGTAAGTTGTGGTTACCTGTAAGAAGATGAAAACATAGCATGTAGCCGCAGTGTTGTGTTATATTTTTATTAGTATTTTGTATCATCATGGTGATCAAAATAAAGAGAGAAAAAAAA